AAGTCATAGCTGAGAGGTGTTATCCAGCGTCAGCCCCTCCTCCAGAGAGAATGTGACCCCCACGGTCACGTGGTCGATCTCGCCCTTGCACCCCAGCGCCGCTGGTGGCCCAGCTGTGCCCCAAGCCTAGCGCCATGGGACTGAGGCCTGCAGCCTGGTGAGCACCCGGCTTGACGAACGCCCTCGACTCTTGGCCTGCAGCTGCGGCGCGGCTTCGGGAACGTGTTCAGCCTGCAGCTGGGATGGACGCCTGTGGTCGTGCTCAACGGCCTGGACGCCGTGCGCGAGGCACCGGTGTACCACAGGGAGGACACAGGTGAACGGCCGCCTATGCGGGTCTATGAGCACCTGGGCTTCCGGCCGCCCTCCCAAGGCAAGCGGAAGATGGGGGCAGACCGAGGCCTGGCCGGGACTGGGCCAGCAGTGACTCAAGCTCCCGCAGGCCCACGCAGGGGCAGGATCGTGGACGTGCAGTGCAGGGAAGAGGTAGCAAGTTTGGAGGGGCTGCGGGTGGAGGAAGGAGTTGGTGCCAAGTGCCTGGGTGGGACGCGGGAGGATGAGGGCGGGGCCTGCCCAAGACGGGATGGGCCCAGGGCTCTCGAGAGCAGGGACAGGATGCCAGGGTGGGCAGAGCGGAGTGGGGTCAGCACCTGGCCCCAGCTGGCGAGCAAAGCGGGCAGGCAGAGCGACGTGTCCCCAGCGGGAAGTGGGTGTCAAAGTGGGCGCGCTTTAGTGGGGGTGGGGAGCAAGTTTGGTGTGGGCGGGCAGGGGGCCGGGCCTGTATCAGAGGGGGCGGGATTGTGAACCGGGCAGGGGCGGGGGCCTTGCGAAGGGGGCGGGGCGGACTACGCCAGAGCCCCGCCCATGTCCCGGCCCCGCCCCCAGGGGTGAACCTGGCGCGCTACCCGCGCGAGTGGCGCGAGCAGCGGCGCTTCTCCGTGTCCACCCTGCGCAACTTCGGCCCGGGCAAGAAGTCACTGGAGCAGTGGGTGATCGAGGAGGCCTCGGGCCTCTGTGAAGCCTTCGCCGACCATGCCGGTGAGAGTTGCGGCTGAGGGACCCCGGGGACAGGGATGGATGGAGGGGCCGGGGAAGAGGCGATGGAGGCGAGCCTTCAGCCCCGGCGCCCGCGTGGATAAAGCGGTGAGCAACGTGATCTCCTCCCTCACCTACGGGCGCCGCTTCGAGTACGACGACCCGCGCTTCCTCAAGCTGCTGGAACGACTGCCGGCGGGAGTGGAGGAGGCCCAGGGCTTCCTGCGCGAGGTGCGGGGCGGAGGCACCAAGGAGCCCTGCCGGGCGAGCTCCCGGGAGGAGGCCTCGCCCTAAAATGGGCCTCCCGGCGGAGGGGGTGGGGAGAGGGGCGGGGGAGAAAAGGCATTCCGAGACGGGAGGCGTGGAGGTGGGGAAATCCAACCGCGGGAGACGGCTAAGGAATCTTAACACCTCCTTCATTGGAAGCCACCACGAGAGCCCATGAGGTCTAGATTTTAGATTTATTCTGGGCCCCGGGCCAGGAAAGAGGATCAAGGCCGAACTTAGGGGAGAACCATGTCAATGGTGGGGACACTCTGGAGGCCACAGGACCTGACTGATCAAGACGAACACCCGAGCACAGGAAGGTCCCCATCTGTGGTCCGCACAGATCCTTAACTCGATCCCCGAGCTCCTGCACATCCCGGGGCTGCCCAGCAAGCTCTGCTCAGCACAGAAGACCCTCACGATCCTAATAGATGAGCTAGTACAGGAACACAGGACGACCCGGGACCCAACCCAGCCACCCCGAGACCTCACTGTTGCCTTCCTGGATGAGGTGGAAAAGGTGAGGTGTCAGGGACAATGGTTGTGGGTTGAAGGCCCCGTGACTCAAGGCCCAGGAAGGTGGGGCCCACATATCAGCCAGTGATCAGTGATCACTGATGGGTGCGGGGGTGGGAGAGGCCATTTGGGGGCTCCTTCCCTCTGCCCCAGAGCTCACCCTCTTGGCATGGCCCAGGCCAAGGGGAGCCCCAAGAGCAGCTTCACTGATGAGAACCTGGGCATGGTGACATCTGACCTTCTCGCTGCTGGGATGGTGTCCACCTCGGCTACGCTGACCTGGGCTTTCCTGCTCATGATCCTGCACCCGGACGTGCAGCTTGAGCCCACCCTGGGGGCCGGGTGGGATGGATGAGGGAGGAGAGGGACAGGCTGGGGCCCCCTGAGCTTGATTTGGCCCCCCAGAAGCTCCGAGCAGAGGCTGGGCCCTAGCTCGGAGGTAAGAGCTGCCTCCACGTGGGCACAGCCCTCCACAGGAGTCAGGCAGAGGCCAGAGCCCAGACCCCTGGGTTCTGACCACTGTGGGGATGCCTGTCTGTCCAGGACGTGTCCAACAGGAGATAGATGAGGTGATAGGGCGGGTGCAGGGACCAGAGATGGGGGACCAGACCCGCATGCCCTTCACCATGGCTGTGGTCCATGAGGTGCAGCGTTTTGGGGACATCATCCCACTGGGCTTGCTTCACGTGATGTCCCAAGACCCTGAAGTGCAGGGCTTCCTCATCCCCAAGGTAGGTCTGCGGGCCTCCCTCACCTGTGCTCACCACCACCTCCGGCCTGGCAGCCCCAGCACGGCTAATGCCCAGGAGGGCCCGGGCCCCCAGTCCGTGTTTCTGCAGCCTGGGTGGGGGCCGGGGGGTGGGGAGAGCATCAGCAGGGCCAGCCCTGTCCCTTCAGAGCCCCAGTCCCCTGGGGAAGACAAACTGAAATCTGCCACAAGGTGTTGGAGGAGCCCGTGCACAGGGGTGGGTGGCAGCGTGGGCGCCCACGGGTGGGGAGGCACTCAGCCCTGCTGTGGGGACAGAGAGGGTGCCCAGAAGCTTCTCGGGCTGAGGGGTTACTTGAAAGAGGCCGGGTGTGTGCCAGGCAGAGTGTGCGCCCATAGATGTTTGGTGGCAGGGGTCTGGGCGTCCCGTAGCCCGGACCCCACTCATGCCAAGCATCTCCTGCCAGGGGACAAGACTTATCACCAACCTATCGTCGGTGCTAAAGGACAAGAAGGTCTGGAAGAAGCCCCTCCATTTCTAACCCGAGCACTTCCTGGATGCCCAGGGCCGATTCGTCAAGCAGGAGGCCTTCGTGCCCTTCTGCGCAGGTGCCCGGGGTGCCCAACTCGCTGGCCCCTCCTGAGGCGTACCCCCGGACACCCCCACAGGCCGCCGCATCTGCCTCGGAGAGCCCCTGGCCCGCATGGAGCTCTTCCTCTTCTTCACCTGTCTCCTGCCACGCTTCAGCTTCTCCGTGCCTGCCGGACAGCCCCGGCCCAGCGACCACAGGGTCTTCTCCTTCCTGGTGACCCCAGCCCCCTCCCAGCTCTGTGCTGTGCCTCACTAGAGGGAGGAAGCATCCCCCCCGCCACCGGCTCCTCAGTAGGGGCCTGATGGGCCAATAAACCAGTTGGGTGGCTCCATCCTGGCTTCTGAGTCCCCTCAGGGCCCCCTGGCCAACCACTGGCCATGATGGGGCCTTAGCAGCCTCCCCAGGGCCATCCCCTACCCCTGTCTGAGCCATCCTTACCTTGCATTTGATCCCATTTGAGAGAGGGGGATACTGAGGGTCAGAAGATCACAGCTTACCCCTAGTCACCCATAGGGACCCAATACTGGCAACTTGGGTGAGTGACAATGTCTGTACTTAGGTCCTGGCTCATGGCAGGAAGAGCTAGAACAAGCTGCTGAGAGCTCTCAGCCGGACCCTGGTGGGCGTGGGCAGGCCCCACTCAGCCTGGACACCCACATCTCAGGTCCAACGCCACCCACCCCACCCCACGGGCCAGCAGCCCCGCCAGCACCACCAGCTCTTCTGTTCCACTTCATCTACGACTCCCCCAAAGGTAGGGACTTCAGGAATGGCCATGAGGGTATGTGCCAGGTTAACACCCAGGGCTCAGTCCACAGGTGCCAGAACTTTCCCTGGGAAGCCTTTGGCAGTCCAGGAGTGAGCCACCTCCCTAAGTCTTTCAGTCACCCCAAGCTAGGGGGGACCCCTTTCCCAGCCCCTCAGGGATGCCTATGTCCGGTTTCCACGTGGCCACTTCCTGCCACGTGGCCTGCCCAGAAGTTGCCATTCACGGCCAGGCTAGAGTAGGAGGAGGGCCACTCATCGGGGCTCCAACCTAGGGCACAGTCCTCTTGAGTGGTTGGGTCAAGCTGGGCTCTCAGGAGACTTGAGCAGGGGAGGCAGTGAGACCTGTGGGCCCCAGGTATGCCCTAGGGACAGGCGCCATCCTCGGACCCATGTGACAGCGAAATGGCCAGAGGAGGAAGTGGCCACGTGGAAACTTCGGAGGAGGACACCCTGGCTTTCATCCTTGCTCTGCCGGGATACTCTGTGACCCGGGGCCGGTTCCTCCCTGCCCTGGGCTTCTGTTTCCCCCTCAGCCAGTGAGATGGTTGCACCAGATGGCTGCTGGGGCTGCTGCTGGGGCTGGTGGTCCTGCTCTGACTTCTGGGCCCGTGACCCTCTTAGCCTGGAGCCCCGGCCGAGAGCAGGTCTGCTGTCCTCCCCCTGTGCCCACCCCCACAATTGGCTGGTTCTGGACTGAGCAGCTGGGCAGCACCCGCTTAGCCAGGTCTTGGGCAGGCCCCCTGGTGCATTTAAGGAACAGTTTGGGGACCAGAGACAGGTCAGAGGCGCCTCACTCCCCCAGACCTCTTTTGCCAGAGGACACCCCTCCGCTCCGCCCCAGACCCAACAGCATCCCTGACAGAGGTCCCACCAGCACCTTCTAAATGCGCTCACGACATGGAGCTCCCCAGCTCTCCGCATTCGGGGAACTCGCTCTGCCCCTCAGCAAGGGGTCGGGGGCCCTCTCCAGAGTACCAGCTGCTGTGGCGGGGCTCAGGCGCAGCTTGTCAGGGCAGGGAGTGTGGACAGGGCCTCACTGGGTTTAGACGAAGGCCCTGAAAGGAAGCAGCTGGGTCTGCAGAAGCGGCAAGTGTCCGGGTTTATTGGCTATTTGGTCATTCGTGGTTCTGAGTCTTTGGGATGTCAGCGGCTGGGACCCAGTCCAGCCAGAGCTTCCTCAGGAGCTGGGGGACCCAGCCTCCAGGCCTTTCCTCCTTGCTCTCCACCGCAGAGGCCTCTGCAAAGCACAGACAGGCAAGCCCTGTGGGTCCCCTGCAGGGAAGACCCTTCCCCAGGGCCGGGGGGGAACAGGCCAGCGCTGACCAAACGCTCGCCTCAGGTTCCTGCCGACCAGGAAGGAAGCAGGAGGCGGCGGAGACATTCCGGGAGGACGGGGCGCCTGGCTAGCTGGGCTCCTTCCCTCCGCTTCCCAGCCCAGGGCCCAGGGCCCGAGGGAGGCTGTGCCATCCGTAAGCCCTGCAGGGGTGGGGTGTGCTGCCTTACCGGAGGGGTATACTGCCACCTCCTTTTGGACCTTCGTGTTCTCCTGGGAAGAAAGACGGGGCACAGTGGTGGGACGCGACAGGTGCCACATTACACAGACGGGCAGGTGGGGGGAGGCAGGGTCCGGCCCACTCTCCACCCCATAGGGCCCCCTGGGCCACGGGGACAACAGTGTGGCCCCGTGTCCTTGCAGGTGCCCCATCCCCCCCCAACACTGCCCTCCTCCCTCCCCACCACAGTGCTCTGGGGCTTCCCAGTAGGGCCCGTGCTGGGATGTTCCTCACCTCCCAGCCTGGGGTCCCTGCCGCTTCTTCCCCCTCAGCCGCCTCCTTCACAGCGGGGCCGCGGCCTGCGGCTTCCACCCCTGGGGGCCTCACCGCCCCCTCCTGCTGAGACCGGAGCTCAGTCTCCTCCTTGGGGGCAGCAGCGCTCAGTCCTCCCGTTGCCTTGGGGGCCATGGCCTGCAGGGAGGGGCGGGAGGGCGGACATGGGCAGAAAGGCCCGCAGAGCCTTCATCCTCCTGCCCCGTCTGCACACCTGCACTGGGTATGGTTCTTCGTTTTCCCAAGGAAGGCCTTCCCTTCTCAGCGAGTTGCAAGTTTCCCGGGGGTGGGGGGCTGCCACCGTCCCTGGGACGCCCCTGCCACGAGCTGGGCTGTCTCTGCGTCACATGGAGCTCTGACAGAAGCGAGCCTCACTTACCTTGGCTTGCTTCTTCCCGATCTTGACTCTGCGTCTCTACAGAGGGAAACAGAAGGGACTTCCAGCTGGGAGGGGCTGTCCTCTCACCGCACCTGCCCAGAGTGCCCACTCCAGGGGAAGTGGGGTCCCCAGCCCTTACCTACCTGAGTGGTCACAGGGTAGCACTTATCCATCGGCCCCCACACCGGCCTCAAGGTCTCCCCTACGAGCTGCACCAGAAGAGCGGAGGGAGGGAAGGCTGAGGTGACGCACGAATTCACTAATTCACTGTCAATGCCTGCATACGCAGACACCTAAAAACTACCTGTCTTGAGAAAGTTAAAACCTGGCATTTGTGAAACAAAAATAAAACAGATATGTTCAAAAAACCTCTAATCCTTGAAAACAAAAATATGATAGAATAATGGGAATGAAAAATCCAATCAAAGTGTAGGAGGTAAAGTTAAAAAAATTTTTTCCCAGAAAGAACAGAAGAGACCAGGAGCTCCCACAGATAACTCATAGATCTTTCTGAGACAGGGAACAGACAACAGACTGAGGTGGCAGGGAGAGATACCAGATAAATACGGCCCTGTTTTATCCAGACATGATAAGGGACATGAGTTTGCAGAAGAGAAGGAATCACCAAGTGTCCAGGACAATGGATGATAGAGATTCACCCCAGATTTTGTCATCAGTAAATCTCAAAACACTGAGGACAGGGAACCCAAAAACTTCCAGAAATACAAAGAAAAAATTGTTCTAGGAATTCAACTTTCCTCAGACTTTTCTTTGAAAGTCTTTGAAGCCAGAAGACAATGAGGATCTTCAAAATCTATGAGAAAAATATTTCTAGTCTAGAATTCTATACCTACCCAAACTCTTAGTCAAATATGAATTAAGACCGTTTCAGACATGTAATATCTCAAGACTACCCTCCGGAAGCAGAGGTTCCCCTAGAGGTTGTGTTCCATCGAAATAAAGGAGTGACAGGGGCTCCCCAGAGCGACGAGAAAGGGAGGTCCCAGGACAGCTGAGCAGCGAACCTCGAGGACAAAATCCTGTCCGTGTGGAGACAGCAGGAGGGAGGGCTCCCTGACATACGGCTCTGCAAAAACCATCAGATAAAGCACCTAATTTGTCTAAATGTACGGCAAGGAGATTGGTATTTTTGGCAGGGAGCCTGGGTAAATTAATTGTAGGTAAAGAGAAAACTAACAGAAAAAAGAGGCAAAACCAAAATCACACACCGAGGTACATGAGGTGACTCAGCTAAGAATACTGTTCTCACGGTTTCGAAATGTAAGCCCTCCACACTGGTCTAATAGAAACTCCGACAGACACCCCCCGCATGGCCAAAGACCAACGGCGAGCGCAGGAGCGGATGTGGAACCACCGGAAGCTCGCCTTGGCCACTCTGAAAGTCACGGTCTCCGACCAAACTAAACGGACGCCGACCACGTGACCCACCAGCCCCCGCTGCCGGTGGTGACCAAAGGGAAAGGAAAACCTACGTTGACACAAAACTTATACGTGAATATTTATAGTGGGGTTTTTAAAAAAGATTTTATTTATTTTAGAGAAAGCACGCATGGGGGGAGGGGCAGAGGGAGAGAGAATCCCAAGCAGACTCCCCACTTGAGTGCGGAGTCCCGATGCGGGGGGCTCCATCCCAGGACCCCGAGATCATGACCTGAGCGGGAACCAAGAGTCGGACGCTTAACCGACTGAGCCACCCAGGCGCCCCACAGCGGCTTTATTTGTTTGTAATTGTCCCCCAACTAGAAACACCCAAATATCTCTTAGGTGCTGAGCAGACGAACTGCAGTCCATCCCCACAAAGGACACCTGCTCAGCAAGAAGGAACGAGCTGCTGCTGCTGCGCATGCGCCCAGAGCAGCCTCAAGTGCACCAAATTCGGTGAGAGACCAGACGACAGGCAGGATGTCTCCACTTACAGGGCGATCTCGCAAAGGCCAGACTATAGGAACAGAAAACGCTTCACTGGATGCCAGGGGTGGGGGAAGGGCTGACTGCACGTGAGTCTGGAGCAGTTTTTTGAAGGGATGGAGCTGCTCTGTTTTTGTGGTGGGGGTTACCCGGCTGCCAAAAATGAGCCCACTGCAGTGCAGGGGGACTGAAAAGCCAAAATGATAGAAAAGTCAGCAACAATGTTATTTAAAAGATTTTAACGATTGGAAATGTCATTACTCAGATTAGAAAACACAGCTGTAACTATATTGGAAGCTGGAGGGAGGTGAAGTGTGTGTCGGAGGACAGTAAATGGACAGTTGTTCCGAGAGCTAAAACCTCAGCTTCCGCTGTAGGAATTCACTGGCTAATGTTTAAATCTGAAAAAGCAAGACAAAGCAGGATAAGCTTGCTATTTAGCAACATGGAAAAAATCAAAGGTTCCAGCTGGAAAGGTCGGAGGCTGGGAAGATTCCCATCCTGGGGTGCGGGGGTCGTGGGTGGGGCACAAGGCGGCCATTTGTTGGCTTCGGGTCTTAAAACTTCGAAGCATCAAACCACGTACATGCCTATCTTTGATGACGATAAAACTTCTTTTTAAGTGGAAACGTGACCAGTTACTTTAAACCACAACAACAACAAAGAAGGGAAGCAAAGCTGGACTCCGTGGTCTCCAAGGCACCTGCCAACATGGGCCCTCTTAGGGGCTCCCCGCCTCTGAATGGTCAGCCCCAAAAGGCGTAGCGCATCCTTCTCAGCGCTTCTGGTCCGCAGACGGCCTTGTCTCTGTGGGAAATCCCCTCTCCCCAAGGGCACCGTTCAGAGAGCGGGAGGCCTCCGGAGATCAGGGATGTGGTTCTGTCCTGTCAACTTGGGCGGCCTGGATCCAGTCACTGTCCTCCTGGGGGCCTGTTTCCCATCTACATGAAGTGCGAGCAGCTGGGTGGCTGTGAGGTTTACCATGACCAAGCAGATGGACAGCACATAGTCCAGCATGGGGCCCTCAGTGGGCGTCCAGCAGCCACCCAGGGCTGGGAGCAGGGGCTTCTGCCCTGGGTTCTTGGATCTGGGACATCGAGGAGAGAATGCAACCCCAGGCAGGCGTCCTGCTCACCACCGCCTCATCCACATGTGAGCACTGAACCACATTCCAGAGCTACTCACATGAATGAGGGATCATCTGTTCCTTTTGGTTTGTGGACGCCGTGGCCACAGAGCCCCGAGGTGCCTATAGAGCCAGCCCCTGAGGGATGGAGCCTCTGTTTGGACACTTTGCCAGAAGCACAGCGAATTTCTGCAGAGCCCTCACATTCGCACACACACACACACACACACACACACACAGCTGGTTAACAATTGCGGTCGAGGAGCATGACCTCTACTCAGGCTACGGTGAGACCACCCCCACCTCTAGGCCTGCACGGTGCCTACCTGTGAGGGTCCCTCAGCAATCTCACCGTCAGGGGCTGGCTTCCCCACAGACCCCTGAAAATAGTAGTACACCACGCCTGCAGGGGGGCGAAGAAAGACTAATTAAAACATTTAAGAGTGATACAATTACTTCACAGTGTCAGTATTTACAATACACCAGAAATCGTATCCTTTTAAACTAAACTGGTAATGAAAAACGTTAGGTATTAAAATTATGAGAAGATATGTAATTGTTCAATTACAGGTGTGCAGGCCAACGTTGAAGATCACTGCTATAGGACATGAGGTTGTGTAGGTTTTGGTTCGTGGGTTTTCGGTGGGGGCGGGGGAGGATGGGTTTTCGAATCAAACATGGGTTCAAATCCGTTTCACTACGAAGGTACCGAGGAAGGAAAGGGACAGAAGGGCAGCCTTGACTCTGAGCAGCATGGCCAGGGCCTGGGAGCCGGGGGGCAGGCAGCTGGAGAGTGGGGCAGCCCTGAAGCGAGAACCAGCCCCCCCGGCTCCTGCCATGGCCCCAGCGCCCAGGCCCTTACCTGCAAGAACCAAGAGGTGTGCTACGTACAGGGGCTTGTAGAGCCTGGAAGGGAAGCGGAGTTGAGGGTAAGGCTGGGGCATCTCGTGCCCTCACTGCGGGTGGGGACCAGGTTCCTCCCTCTCCAAACCCCAGGACCAACTCCGCCAGCGCGTGTGCCCACACTGTGGGTGAATAAATCCCTCAGCTGTAGCGGGCTCGCAGGGGCTCCCCACTGCCCGGCGGGCCGGGCTCAGGGCCTCCGGCTATGTTGAGAGCCAGACTCGGAGCCTGGAATACACTCCCTTCTCCTTTCCTTTTGCACTTGTCTCCCTGGGTCCGCCCTGCCTTCCCAGCTGGAAAGCAAGGACCCGGCCGTGGTTGGGCCCTCAACGCTGGATCAGCTCTTCCTGCGGAGGTCCTCCAAGGCCCCCCCTACTCTGGACTGACAGATCCCACAATCCCGATCAGAAACCGTATCCCCATGACTCATCCACCTCTTCTGGGACCCCTCCCTTGCCACAAGCAGAGCATCTTGACGCTGCAGGGACAGTGGCTCCCAGTGTGTGCGTGCACGTGCGCACACACACTCACACACACTCACACACATGCACACACAGGCAGTTCCCACCTGCCAGGACCAGGCCTTCCACCCCAACCCTGAGCCCCAGAGATACTGAACAGTCAAGGAAAGGGGAACAGAGAACCCTATTTTCCCTTCCTCTTAGACCCAAGTGGGGGTTCCCCGTCCTGGTCACTCGAGGCACTGTGGCAGGGCCCACCTAAACTTTACCTCTCTCTCTGGCCGCCCAGTCCAAACACCATTTTCAGTCTAAGAAGAAAAGATGGTCAACAGTCAATGCATCAGGCAGGCCCCGGATCCCGTGTTCCTTTACCAGGTGGCTTTCGGGGAGTGTGAGGGGCCAGAGGTGGTCCGGGAAAAGCCAGGACCTCCACCCGCAGGGCTCAGCCGGGGGCCAAATTTAGGAGGGACTGGGCTCGCACTGGGAGCTTGGGAAATGCTCAGGAATTTCTCCCAAGACCTCAGAGTCCCAAACAAAAGCTGGTTTCAATGCCCTCAGAGCTGGGAAGGTAGTTCTCAGAGAATCGGGTTGGGGAAAGGGGGCTGGGATAGGATTAAGGACAAAAGCATCACTCTGTTGAACATCTGGTGTAAAATGACCCCAGATGTAGGTGGCTAGTTATTTCAGAAACGCCGTGTAACAGGAAATATTTGAAAGTGTTGGTAGTTTTTAATCATTATTATTAACTCTTGTAATTTAGGGAGTCCTAGGGGAGATGCCTAGCCTCCTCAAAAAGATCCTCTGTCTGAAATCCCACCAGCATGGTCGAACTCCATACAAACCAAGGCCATGGTAAAGTCAAGGTCTCTGATGTGAGCTGGACCCGGTGCGGCCTGGGGAGCCTCTGCTTCCCAAGGGAGCTCCCTAGGCTCCCCAGGGACAAGTTCAGACCCCCCCTTTAACCCTGCACCCCCCCCCCACCTGCTCCACTCTCAGCAGAGAACTCAGGCACCCCCCAGACGACGGGAGTTCCTCGACTCTCTGCCGCCAAACCCACCCATTCTCTGCTGCCTCCTCAGGGAGGCGGCTGCCCTGCTCTGTGCTCCGTTCCATCTGGTCTCCCCGCCTGGGTGTTTGGGGGCCCCTTGCTCACTGGTATATTCAGCCTTCCCTTCCCTTCTGGCTTCTAATCAGCATTTCACACACACTCATGTCTTCCATTAAAAGAAGCCCTTCTCCCTTGAACCAGACCCTTCCCCAGTGACCGTTGTAATGACCTCCTGTCCTCCACCCCAGCCCACCAGCTGTCTGCCCTGGGTGTCTTCACCCCTCTCGGCCTCCGCTCACCCCTCAGCTTCCTGCATCTGTTCCCGGCCCCGCAAACCTCCAACACCTCTCCCACCCAGGTCACCAGTGCGCTCTCAGCCCCCAAACCCCGTGGGCCTTTTCCAGGCTTGGTTCACTTCACCTCTCCGCAGGGCCCTGCGTGCCTCCCTTCTCCAGAGCACCTTCTCTGAGAAACCCGCCCGCAATGTATTCACCGGGAAGCTTTTTGGTCATTTATAACTTGGTGTGAGCAAAGTTATCAGGCTTTTTCCGAGAGGCGGTCTGGAGGAGGAGAGGAGAGTCAATGGGTCGTGAGGGAGAGAAGAGCCGGGGAAGGGGAATGGTGGGTCGGAAGGGATGAGGCAAGGGGAAGCGAAGAGCTGCAGAGACAATTTTCACCTGCTTGGGTGCTTTACTGAGGACAGCCTTCGAGCCTGCTCGCCAAAGCTGCCAACCTCGATGGTGTCAGCGGTTTGCAGAGCACCCTCGGACCATATCAGAGTCCAGGCAGCGTCCTCCTCAGCTCCCGTCCGGCTCTAGGACCGAGCCTAGAAGGGCACCGGAGCCCGGGTAAGTCTGGGAACCCAGGGCCCAGCCCCTCCCTTTTTCAAGGAGAGTGGTGTCTATGTGTGACATCATGTCTCAGGGGGCTTTGTGACAGGACAGCCCCTCCAAGTGTGGCCAGAGCAGTTTGTCAGGTGCCTCAGCGAGGCCTTCAATCCCCACCAGCCGGAGGCCGCACCTCTCTGGTTCCATTCCGTGCCCCCAACGCTGCTCGAGCACCTTCGGTGCGCCAAGCGACGTGCAAAGTCCTATAGGGTACACAAAGACATAAAGGTGTGTGAGAGTCCATCTTGTCACACGGCACAACAGGGATATTTTCTGAGTCAAAAACAAGAACACAGCTTAACCATTTTTGAGTGTCATCCATCCATTCAACCAGGGTCTGCTGAGCTTCCATGTGGGGCCAGGAGAAATGTTAAAGGGATAGAAAGGCAAACAGGACACAGAGCCTGCCTTTGAGCAGCTTGAGGACATCAAATAGGCATCTTCTGATTCAAGACAATAACCTACACTCTCCCCAAATTCCTATGAATGTAACGAAATAATAATTACAAAACTATGGGGACATCTGGGTGGCTCAGTCAGTTCGGTGTCTGACTCTTGGTTTCAGCTCAGGTCATAATCTCAGGGTCTTGAGATCAAGCCCCGTGTTGGGCTCTGCGCGCAGCATGGGGTCTGCTCAAAATTCTCCCTCTCCCTCCCCTTCTGCCCTTCTCCCAGCTCGCACACACACCCTCTGAAAAAATAAAATCTTAAAAAAAAAAAATTACAAAAGTATGGATGTTTAACACTGAGGAATGCTGAGTTTCATATATACATGAAATATTTACCAAGACAGACCATATTCTCAACCATAAAACAAGCCTCAAAAAATTTAAAATCTTACAGTCGTTTCTAGGGGACGCCTGCCTGACTCGGTCAGTAGAGCATTGACTCTTGATATCAGGGTTGTGAGTTTGAGCCCCACGTTGGGTGTGGAGCCTCCTTAAAAAAAAGTCATTTCAAGTATGTTCTTTGACCACAATGGAATTAAATTAGAAATGGGTAACAGAAAGACCCCTGGAAAATCCCCAAACCTTTAGAAACTAAACAACATACATTTAAATAACATACGAGTGAAATAAAAACTCTAAAAGAAAGTTAGAAGGTATTTTGAACTGAACGAAAATGAAAAAATATCAAAATGTGTGGGATGCAGTTAAAGCAGTACATAGAGAAAAAATCACAGCACTAAAAATATCTGTATTAGAAAATAACAAATGTCTCAAATGAGTTACCTCGCTTTCTACTTTAAGGAACTGGAAATGGAAGAGCAAATAAAGCCCAGAGTAAGCACGAGAATTGAAATAAAAAAGATTAAAGTGCAAATAATTGAAATAGAATAGAGAAAAACGATAGAATAAAAATCAGTAACACCAAAAGCTGGTTTTGTGAGGTCAACAAAATGTATAATTCTGTAAATAGACTAGACCAGAAAAAAAATAAGATACAAGTGATCAATATCAAGAATGATGAAGGTAACAACGCAGATTCTACAGATACCAAAACAGTAATAAGGGGATATTATGAACACACCATACCAATAAACTGGACAATATAGAGGAAATGGACAAAATCTTTAAAAAGACACAAAAATACCAAAGCTCATGCAAGAAGAAATACATAACCTGATAACACAATATCTATTAGAGACATTAAATTTACTTAACTTTCCCACAAAGAAAACTCCAGATCCATATGGCGTCACTAGTAAATTCTACCAAACTTTTAAGGAAGAAATTATACCAATTCTACGCACTCTTCCAGAAAAAGAGAAGAGAATACTTTCCATCTTATTGTAGGAGGACAGCATTATCTGACATCAAAACCAGACAAAGACAACACAAGAAAACTACAGGACAACATCCCTCATAAACACAGAGGCAAATATTATTAAGAAAATCTTGGGGGGGCTGGGTGGCTCAGTCGTTGAGCATCTGCCTTCGGCTCAGGTCATGATCCCAGGGTCCTGGGATCGAGCCCCGAGTCAGGCTCCTTGCTGAGCAGGGAGACTGCTTCTCCCTCTCCCACTTCCCCTCCTTATGTTCCCTCTCTCCCTGTGTCTCTCTCTGTCAAATAAATAAAATCTTTAAAAAAAAAATCTTAACTTGAGGGGTGCCTGGGTGGCTCAGGCGGTTGAGTGTCTGCCTTTGGCTTAGGTCATGATCTCCAGGTCCTGGGATCGAGCCCCATGTCAGGCTCTCTGCTCAGCGGGGAGCCTGCTTCTCCCTCTCCCTCTGTGCTCTCTCGCTTTTGCTCTCTCTCAAGTAAATAAATAAAATCTTTAAAAAAAGATTTAAAGAGAAAGTCTTAACTTGAAACTAACAACTTATAAAAAGGATAATACACTATACCAAAGGAGTTTATCCTCAGGAATGCGAGGTTTTTCCAACATTCCAAACCAATCAACAGAATTCACCATATTAACAAACTGAAAAAGAAAAAGCGAAAAAAAAAAAAAAAAGATGCACAAAAAAACATTTGATAAAATCAACATCTGTTCTGGGGGAAAAAAAAAAAAAAACAAAAAACCTCCCAGCAAACTAGGAGGAGTTTGGAACATCCTCAACCTGATGAAAGACATCAATGAAAAACTTAGTGCTAACAATATACTCAGTAGTAAAATACTGAATACTTTCCCCCTAAATTCA